ACCGACCTTCCCACTAATAAATTTGCTATCTTCCCTTCTTTATATTAAAAATGTCTGATGGAAATAACGACAAAGAGGTAATACTCCCTTGTGTCCCGCCCAATTCTCTTATCTCGATCTATATCCATCTAGCTATACATCAAGAGGGATTTGGATTAATATCAATGGTTTAGTGTTGATATCAATAAATAATTTGTTTAAAACAAAAAATCTTCAAAAATTAGAAATAAAAAGACGTTCCAAGATTGTGACTTTCAATTAGGGTTCAGCGGTACCGGTATTCCGAGAAAAAAACGGTATTTTCGGATTGATGATACCGATACCGGTAACGACTCGGGATCGGGATTAGCCTAAATCGGTATCGGTATTTCCTAAAAAATTTTAATATGAAAAAAAAATTCTTTAATAAATAAATTCATTTTTCATTTTGAAAAAGGTTTTAATTAGTAGTAAAATGATAAATTAGCACTATAAAGCTATTCTCGAGGCAAAAACATCTCAGGAACCAATAGAAGACCTTCCAAATCCAAATCATTTTGATATTTATTTTAACTTTTTTTTCAATTTTTACTTTTGGTTGCCAAATTTTTAAATTTACTCAACTAAAAATATCCTTCGGTAGACGGTTACCTATTAGAGATTTACGTTAAGTAACTTTTAGAAAATTCTGATTTTAAAATAAATCAGAATTTGTTTTTTAATAAGCTTCCCTTTTGTCGTTATTTCCATCAGACATTTTTAATATAAAGAAGGAAAAATAGCAAATTTATTTGTGGGAAGATCGGTAATTTTAAAAGGAAGTTTTTTGTTGAAAAATATTTTCTGAGAAAAAAAAATAAAAATTTTTTTAATATTAATTTTAATATTTATTTATTTTTATATATATTTAAATAAAAATACAAAAAAATATAATAATAATGCTAATAATAATAAAACAACAAAAACTACCAACAGAATTAATTGTTGATATATTAAATACAATAAATACTGATGAAGGGTACTTGAGAGAGAAATTTTCCATAAAAAATCTATTAGGGTGATATAGACCAATTTATCTTTTGAAAGGGCATTTGGATATAGTGTAGTGTACCGGTGGTAAAAGTTCGGGATGTGACATATGTCATTCGATTCGTCTCGACGAGCTGAGTCGAATGGTACCACTCCCTACTTTAGGAAATGATTCTGGGCCGAGTTATAGGTCCCGAAAAATTGAAAAACCATAGGGGGGAGTAAGCTCGATTTTGGGGTGAAAAATTCGAATATGCAAATAATAGCTCATTCGAAAGAGCTCGTCGAGCTGAGTCGAATGACACCAAAATCAGCTCGATTGTAAAAGTTTGGATAAAGTTACAATCGAAAAACTAACAGCATAAACCTATGGGGCGTCGGCGAGGCGCTTGTGCAAAACCCCGCGCTTCGCGCGGGGTTTTGCGGCACGCGCCTCGCAGGGAGTCTACGGGCGTTGGGTCTGGGCTCGTAACATAAACCTAGTCCCATCTCCCTTGCTCTGGATGTACTTGGGGCTCCAGTACCAGCAAAAACCTCCATGGAACCATAGGTAAGGAGCTAAAACAAACGAGCATAACTTTGTCAAATCAAGTCAGATTTAGTTGATTTTGGTGTCATTCGACTCGGCTCGACGAGCTCTTTCGAATGAGGTATAATTTGCATATTCGAATTTTTTACCCCAAAAAAGTGCTTGGTCCCCCCTTTGGTTTTTCAATTTTTCGGGACCTATAACTCGGCCCGGAATCATTTCCTAAAGTAGGGAGTGGTACCATTCGACTCAGCTCGTCGAGACGAATCGAATGACATATGTCATATCCCGAACTTTTACCACCGGTACACTACACTACAGCCGGGCATTTTATGGGGCGTTTAGGCTATTTTTGTTACGTCGAAAGATGAAGGGTCCCTATCTCGTCATCAAATTTTTACGGAAAAATGTGATTAATGCTTTCTTGTAGCAATTTCAAGGGCTTACAGATAAGCCCCAAATCAAAATTCAGAACTATCCATAAGAGGTCGAAAATATTTTTTGAATATGAAAAACCCCGTTTTACGTTGAATTTCAGGTTAGTGAAATCTCGGCAATGAAATGAGATATGGGCTTAGTTCTTTTTTATTTTCCCTTATTTCGATCAATATGCCAGCTAGAATTTTTATAAATTTTTTGTTTTGATTTTGGCATCAAAATATAGTGAACTCAAAAATGTTCCAAACTTTTGCTCCACAAATTTCTGGGTATAAAATATTATAGGGATAAAATATAAAAATGTGTGAAATTAATCAGATACATTTAGTGCCTAGAGAACACTTGTAGTTAATTTTCAAAAATTTAATCCAGCCCACTTATTGAAAAGTGAAAGAAAAATTATTGATTTAATAATTTAGAACAAAATGTTCCAAACTTTTGCACATTGCTTAAATATGTAAAAGCTTTCTAAAAATTCGAAAAAAAATTTTTTTGAACGCCCTCTCAAGTACCTTTTTTCAATTATAAAAAAGTGATTTAATAAAGCATCATAATATAAAAATAACAGAAATTCTTCGAGAACCATTTAAATTATGGAATAAATATACTACAAATGTTTTGACTTCTTCTTCTATAACTTGTCGATTTTCTGGAGAATTATTCAAAAAAAGAAAGGTTTTAAAATATAATTAAAAATTTATTTATTAAATTATATTTTGATATTTTTATTCCCTTATTGTTAGGACTAGAGAGCGGGATTTTCAAAAAACCTTGATTTCGGTTGGGTACCTTGACCAGATTCTTGACCTTGAGTCAAGGAAAAATCAAGGAACGCTGAAAAATGTTTTTATCTGGACTCTGGATCCAGGAAAAATCTAGATCTGGATCCAGATCTAGCCCGCTCTCTAGTTGGGACAAAATTCGAAACCTCAACAAATCAATCGAGTTTAAAATATTCTCCAAATCTTTAAAGATTCAAAATTATTTTTATTTATTTCTGTATATTTTTTTTGAACTGGCTTCGGGTCCGAATGTAAAAAATCAGGGTTTTAGTTTTATTCCGGGAAACCCGGAGTTGGGCAAGTTTATTTTTTTCTTTTCCTTGGTTAATCCATTCTTACCCTATCTCGTTAAGGAAAAATATCCAGAGATTACGAATAATTTAAGAATTATAGCTTTTATTTAAAGAAAACTAGAGGTCGGCGCGGGACGGGATCCCGCGCGGGATTTTGCGGGGTCCCGCTCCCGCACTTTTTTCGATTTGCGGGATGCGGAATTTTGCGGGGTTTTTCCCGCGGGATCCCGTCCCGCAAAGATTTTTTTTAAAATTCCTGCAAATTTTTCCCGAAAAATTTTTTGAATTTTGCGAAATTTTGGAAAATGAAGAATTTTTACTCCTACCCTTCTAAACACAAAAAATTTTTGCCTGCGGCGCTAGAAAAACAAGAATTTTGTTTCGCTGGCCTTCCTAAAATCTCGAAATTTTTTCCTGCGGCGCAGAAAAAGGAGGGAATATGGATACTTGGCCTTCCAAAATTTTCGCTGCCGCTATGAAATCATCTTTATTTCATCGAAACAAAATTGTCCAAATTGTTAGATCAAGATGATTGATCGATTACATTTGTTTCAGCTCAAGCTATTCTAATTTGTATACTCGAATTTCCGACGAAATGTATGAGCTTGCCCCTTATGATATTTTTGATAATTGGGGACCCGGTATAAATGCTTATCGTTTGTACCAACTTGTACTCGTAATTTGGTACGAAGTACGATACAGTTAAGAACCCGATAAGAACTCGTTAATGATTAGGAAATTGATTTTTTAATAGATATTGATAATTTCAACGATTTTTGGAAAATCCCGCAGTCCCGCGCGGGATCCCGCAAATTTAAAATGCGGGATTTTGCGGGATGCGGGATTTTGCGGGGTTTTTCCCGCGGGATCCCGTCCCGCAAAGATTTTAAAAAAAATCCCGCATGCGGGATCCCGCAAACACGATTTTGCCGACCTCTAAAGAAAACAAGAACTCCTGCTAGACTCAAATATCCCCCCTCCCTTAATTTAATTCAAAATTCTACTGCAACATAACGCCAAATTCATTTTTGTTTTTCTTCATATAAAAGCTGTAGCTCTTTCATTTTCTAGTCATTCTTAACAATCGAGCTCTTTTTCTTGAAATCCATTTAAAGAGTGTTTTGGGTCTTACATTAATTATTTTTTTATTTTTATTGATTTTTTAGTGATTTTAAAAAAGTAATTAAGCAATTCTACGTAATGTCGGTTGAACAATTGAATCATCAACTGTCTTTGGCTCATGCTCGAATCACTTCTCAGGATCGGCAAATTGCTTCTCAAGATCAGCAAATTGCTTCTCAGGATCAGAAAATTGCTTCTCAGCAAACTCAACTTAACAAATTGACCAGAATGATTGGACTTCCAGCGGTTAGTTATAAAATATATATTTTGTTGATCTTCCCATTAATATCGATTTAAAGCATGATCGTAATTATACCCCGTTTTTCGAATTAAACTTGATTCCTTATAGTGGTGTTCTTTAAGGGGCTGTTAACTGAAAAAATCGTTTTCAGAATAAGATTGGGGGAGAGAGTTAAAAATTGATAACACAAAGACCCCATATTTAGTCATTTTTAGGCCATTATTTTAGAAAATAATCTATTCATATATTAAAATATTTTTTATTTTAGGTGTTCGTTGGTTATGGTGGCCGGTTTGAGCGTAGATCCTGCAGTCTTTATAATGAGGGATATACTGGAACAGTGCCTTTCAGTAAAGTGACTTCTCGATCAATTTCAATCAATTATTTTGAGATTACATTCTCGAGTCTTGAGGGGTATTATTTAAATCAATAAATTGTCCATTAGGCTTTTTACTGTTTAGAAAGTCATCATAGGGTCACAGAATTCCTCTAACCCTTGTACTCTATATTTTTGAGCATTATTTTAAGCTGTATCAATTTTATGGGGGAATCAAAATAAATTTTTAAAATAAGAAACAAAATTTCAGTTTTGACCTGTTAGGTCTTTGCAATGACAAAAACTTTATTTTCATTAATTCGCAATGGGAATTAAAGTCTGATCCTGGACGAAAACTCCTTCTGGACGTGGACGAAATTGAAGGTCCGATAACAATTGGTTCTGGAATTGTTTGGCCATCAACGAATAAATTCTACAAGAGTGAAGTTCCGCATATTTTTTTCACGATCAATGGGCAAAAGATTGGTATTTTTAATTTTCTATAAAATGTAATACTCAAAATTTTCAGGGAAATATATTCCTGTTGACTCTTCCCCGGATATGTTCCATCCAAAATTTGACTGCCATGGTGATGATGCTGTGGTTAATGTTAGTCTTGCTGAAGGTTTCCGCTATGATGTGGTCAACCAAGACTTTGGAGACGATGTGTACAATGAGGAAGACTGGGACATTTAAGTGAATAAATCTAAGTTTATTTAAATAAAAAAAATTGTTAAATTATTTTGTTAATTTTAAAAATAAAAATTTTTCCCATCCTGGGATTTGATGTTTATTACATGGTGTGATTTACACTTGAATATTTAACTCTTTTGATTCCTTTCCTTTTTTGCGAATTTCACAAGTCGTTTTCTCTCCAATCATTGTTGACCTCATTCGAATTCACTCCTATTCTAAGGATTTGTGAGGTTCATGTAATTCTCTCGATTTTGTTTTTTTAATATCGAAAAAATTCAAAAGAAATTTATTACAAAATTAAGGCACTAAAAATTAAGTAAAAAATAAATAAAAATAACAGAAAAAATATGAGCTTTAAAGGTGAAACTAGAAGTTGTTTTTCTGCCAAAGACTGACTAGCCGTCGCCAAGTCGAAATTGCAAGTATTCCCCTAAAAAATAATAATTTTTTAAAAAACATTTCCCCCCCTTTTTCCAAACCTTGCAAGCACAATAAATCTCTTCCAATTCATTCTGTACCCATTTGTGTGTACATCCAAGTTGAACAAAAGTAGGCGTTGTTACGTTTATACAACCACGTTTTTCGTGCATTTTTGGGGAAGGGGAAGTTTGTTGTCCATTATTATTTCCATTTCTATTGGTTGACCAATTGTTGGAAAATATTCTTTGGGCTGCGTAAACACAGAAATGGCCTAGAAAAAAATTTTTTTGAAAAAAATTTTGGAAAATTTCAAAATTATTTCTGAAAAATTTTCAAAAAATTTTTTAAAAATCGAAAAAATTTTCTAAGAACATACCTTTACATTTATTTTGTCTACATCCAGAAGTCATTGAAGAAGGCACATCTTCTGCGCTCATATCACAATTTATGCATTCATAAAGTGGTGGTAAAGGGGGAAGTTTTTGTGCTGCTACTGACATTTCCCATTGACGCCTTAAACAAAATTTTATTTTTTAAAAAATACAGCAGGGTCTCGATTTCATCCCAAAATTATATACGCTCTATTTTAGTTGGCCTGCAAAGGGTGTTGGAAGTTGCCTAAGCGATATCTCCCATTTTAAGTAAAAATACACCTAAACTTTACCGTCATTTTTCATCACCAATTGTGTGTCCGAGTGAATCTAATTAGAAAAAACCCCCCTCAAAAATCAAGGTCCTAGACTGTAATTTAATCTGTAAAACCCCCCTCAAAAATATCTCAAAGTAAAAATCAAAAAATCAAAATTTTCTCCCTAAAAATAACACCTTTGTTGTTGCTCTCTTTGTTGTTTTTTCTCCCCTCCTCCACCCAAACTTTTTAGCAAAGAGGAAATAAAAGAAGAATCACTTCCAGAATCATCCCCATTTGAATTACACATATTTTTCCCTCCACAAATACAGAAACGTTGGGGAGATACTTGAAAAGAATTTTTTAGAAAATCTTAGCAGAATTCAAAAACACCTCCACCCCCACGGCTAATACTCAAACAAACGTGTTGTTGACGTTGTAAAAGTTCTGCCGTTTTGTACAAGTATGGAAGCGAAGGAGGGCCAAAACCACAGCCAGCTGCGCCTGTTGAAGTTTTTTGATGGCACCATTGGCCTAAAATGGAATTTTTAATAAGGGAATCTCTCTATAAGCGACAACATTTGGCCTGAGTTTTGCTGACTTAAGAAGGAAAATCACGTTTTAGGGGAGTCAGGTTAGGTTAAAAACAATTATAAACCGAATTAGGCTAAAACAAAAAAGTCGCTTATAGAGGGAATCAGGAAAGTCGCTTATAAAGAGATTCCTCTTTATTTTATCAACAGTATTTTGATTTTCTCCCAAAATCACACTTGAAGACTCCAACAACCCTTCATTATTAATACCTTGACATGTCTGCCCACAATCAGGCCTTCCATCTGGACATTGCCTACAAGTCACGTTTCTCCACGTGGCTGTGTTCACATGCATAAGAATTTGGTCGTTACAAAAATCTGTCGAATTTTTATTAAAAAATTTTTTAAAAAATCATCAAAAAATTACCAGGCCCAGCACAAACACACAGGACATGGTCAGAAAAATGGTCAAAATCACACCCAGCTCGAGTTCTAGAGGGCCTCTTCACACACCCTTTGGAAAGCCTGAAAATTCCTGGGATTTCTGAAGGCTGTTTCTCTGCAAAACAATAATCTGCCTCACAAGACCCCATCCTATAAAAAATTATTTTTTAAATTTTTTTAAAAATATTTACTGGCAGTTGCATGGTGCACCAGCTAAACATTGTCCAGAACAGGAATAACATCGACGCCCCTGTAAAGAAAATCTTTTTTTTTATTTTAATTAATCTGCCATTTTTTCCGGAATTTTCTATTTTTCTTAATTCCGTTATGTGTAGCTATTTATATTTCCGGATCAGGGCCGAGCGCAATTGGAAAAAAATGTCCGCAATTTTAATTTTAAAATCCGCAAACGCAATCCGCAAGTCAAAAAACACATAATCCGCAATTGCGCCCAGCCCTTTTCCGGACAGTCTGCTTTCCGGAAATTATTTTCTCGTTCTTATTTAATTTCTATATATTCTCTATGTGTCTGATATCTTTACCGGAATTCTCTTTTCTTTTCCTTTTCTTTTTTAATATTTTCCGGAATTCTTTCCGGATCAACATATTTTTTTTTTATTTCTCTTCCTGTATTTGACGTTTCCTCATTTCTTCCGGAATTTTAGTAGTATTTTTGTATATTTTTCCGGAACATTTTCTGCATTCTATACCCTTTCCGGTATTTTCTCTCTTCTCTAATAAAAATTAACTACCTCCAATAAAGCTGTAGACAACGCAAAAATTAAAAGAAATAAAACAAAAAATTTATTAGAGATCACCAACAATAATTTTGAAAATTTTAAATAAAGGTATTGACAAGTTTGTTTATTCATTTGCAACAAAGTTGGCAATAACTCAGCCTTTGCTGACAATTGCAAAAATTAGGCATTGCCTGCGCAGGGATGAGATGAAAGGAAATTAATTAATTTTATTTTTATGTGAGAAGGAAAGAGGCTTTCTGAAAAATAAATAAAAATAAATTTTTATTCAGAAAATTTAAATTAAAAAAATTTTTTTGCTAAACTTTAATAATAAAAAAATATTTATTTTAGTGCACCTTAATTTAAATACGCGCCTATAAAAGGGAAAACAAAGAAGGAAATTTTAATTAGCGGAAAATTTTAATGAATGTTTTTCTTAAAATTGGCTTATTCAAACATTAAAATTGTAAAACTTTATTTAAAACAAAACTTAGTTAAAACTTGATTGTAAAACAAGTTTAATTAGTTAAAAAATGTTTTTAAAACAAGTTTATTTATTTAAAAACAAATTTATTTAAAACATAACAGGAAAATGTTTATGTTCGAAACATGTTTTAAAACAAACATGTTTATTCAAACTTGTTTTTCAACATGTTTTTAAAAACATGTTTTTACAATTAAATTGAAACAAACTTGTTTTTCAACATGTTTTACTCATTTAAAACTTTATGGAAAGTTTGCGTGTTTCAACTGAACTTTAATATGAAAATTAAAAATTATTTAAATATGGAAGATAGGACAGCGAACGAAAAAGAGAATATAAAAACAACATAGGAGAATGCTAGTTTTTTAGCTTAGATAATCCAAATAAAGTTTTATGTGTACAACCAGTTTCCGGTAAAATGCGTCCATACTAGGCTAAATTTTGAAAAGTTTTGAGTAAATTTGGGAGAAAATTGAGAGTTTTTTATGGGTTTGAGCCTTCTTTCTTTCCACTTATTTTGTTTTTTATGGCAGATTTGTTAGTTTTTTGAAGCTTTTTTAATGGATATTTAAAGCATTAAAAATGGATTTATTTGTAGAATTTGCAACACACAAGATTTAAATTGTTTTAAATAAATAAACTTGTTTTACAATCAAGTTTTAATTTAAAAACATGTTTTTAAATTAAATTAAAACAAACTTGTTTTTACAAAAAAGTTTTATTTAAGTAAAGTTTTACACTTGTAAAAACTAAACTTTATTTAAATAAACTTGTTTTTAATTTTAAATGTTTTACAAACATGTTTTTACAATTAAGTTTTTACTATTAGTGAAGTAGATATTTTTAATATAAACCTAGTTTTTAAAGAAAAAAAGTTGAAAAAAAATCACAAATAAATTGGCTATAGAAAAGGAAATGTTTTTATAAAAAGGCTACTAGTATAAACAACAATATAAAAGCCCTCATTCTCCCCCTAAGCTGTCACCCACAGCTTTTTTCTGGTTTAATGAGCAACAGCTACCAAGTAGCAATGAAAATGGCAGAAAATTTTGGTTGGCGCAGCTTTTAATAATTTTCTCTTTTCAACTCATTTTTTTGAAAGAGGAAAAGGAAAAGGCTTTTTTTTACTTGGAAAAATATTTTTTTTATTATTATTTGTTGGGGCAAAAATAAATAATTGTGCTCATTCAAGTTTGAACATTGCTAAAACCATTAAAAACATTTTTTGTTTTATTTTTTCAAAGAAAGTTTTTAAGTTTTAAGGTTTTAAAAATGTAATGAATTTAAGTACATATATTAAATTGTAAAACATCCAAGAATATCAAGAAAACATTTGGAAAAGTTGCAGATTAGAAACAAAAGAACATTAAAAATAAGCATGTTTTACAAAACATGTTTTTACAATTAAAATAATTTAGTTTAACAAAACAAACTTGTTTTACAATTGTTTTTACAAGCAAGTTTTTATACCTAAGTTTTTACAATTAAGTTTTACAATTATGTTTTTATAAATGTTTTTAAAATCAAGTTTTAAACAAACTTGTTCTACTAAAATGTAAAACATGTAAAACTTGTTTTATAAAATTGTTTTACAAATCTTTTTACAAGCAACTTCTTATACTTAAGTTTTTACAATTAAGTTTTAAAAAATAAGTTTTACAATTATGTTTTTATGAATAAGTTTAAACATTTTTTAAAATAAACTTGTTTTACTAAACTGTAAAACATGTATAACTTGTTTTACAAACTTGTTTTACGTTTTAAATAAACTTGTTTTACAAATTAATTATTTAAGACAAAATATGCAATAAAAACAAAACAAAAGCAATTTTAAATTAAAATAACTATAAAAACAATTGTTTCAAAAATATTATTATTTTGGCACTTTGTTTGTTTAGGAGAAGAGCAAACATTTAAAATTTTTTTAAATAAATGAAAAAAATTTGAGACAAATCCTAGAAATCCTCTTTTTCCCTTAAAAATATATTAGTTGATTGGGAAAAAGGGAGGATTAATAAAATAAATAAAATTACTTTATTAATTTTAAAATACCTAATAAATTTATTTCAAAAGGGGCAAAAATTAAAAACAATTTTTTATGAGGTTTTCCTTTAAAAACATGTTTATTTAAACTTGTTTGTAAAACAAGTTTATTTATTTAAAACTGTTGTAAATCTAAGTTTACAATTTAAAACTTAGTTGTAAAACAAGTTTGCTTAGAAACATGTTTGTTTAGAACAAGTTTATTTAAAACAAGTTTATTAAAAGTGAAAACATTTTATTTTAAGACAATTGTAAAACAGGCAGATTTAATTTTTAAAAAAGAAAAAGATTATTATTACGAAGCAAAACATTTAAAACTTGAAATGTCAACAACAATTTTAATAATTTGTCATTTTCCTCAAACATTTTTCAATAAAGCTTTTGTTGTAAATATTTAAGGAGAAACACAACAGTTGTAAAAATGATGTTTATAATAAATAAAAATATATTTTTTTTCTGGTTGTTCGAGAAAAAAAAGGAGGGGAATGAGGGAAGGGAAAGGGGGAAATCCTGTCCTCCAAAAAAATTTTTTCCTTCTGTTGCCTCCCGAAGGAAAATAATTTAGAATTTAAAGTTTAGCTAGTGTTTGTCTATTAAGCGCTAAAAATCAAAAAAGATGGGAAAAAGATGGAAAGGATTTGTGCCGGAAGGTTTCGGAAGGGAAAAGAAGAAACACAAAATCGACAACAAAACTTGAATATATGGGGGGATGACAACAGCTGTGTTTAAGAAAAATATATAAAATAATTTTAAATGAACATCTAAGTAAATAAAACTTGTTTTACAATCAAGTTTTAATTACAATTGTTTTCACAATTAGGTTTTAAATAAATTTGTTTTTAGAATGAATTTTTAAATCAACTTGTTTTTATAACAATTAAACTTTGTTAAAAACAAGTATACGTCTCCATATAAACATGTTTTACAATTAATAAACTTGTTTTACAATTAAGTTTAAATAAATAAACTTGTTCGAAAAATTTCTCAAAAAAAGGTTACGACACCCCCGATTCCCAGGACGTCTCCGTTCCAAGTACTAAAGAGGCCCAGCGTTGCTTAACTTGCCAGATCGGACGGGATGGCGTGCTTTCAACGCGGTATGGTCGTAAGCAAAAGAGAAAACATTTTCATTTAGTATATAGAAAAGAAAATGGAAAGAACGCTAAAAAATATTCTTAGTCAATGAATATAGATGTCATGTAACTTGTCATAACAAAACGATCATATGTTCAATAAAATTTTTTTGGAAACCAAACATAAAAATAAATATTTGTCACAACAAATAAAATTTTTCTAATTTAAAATTAGAGACAAACAAGGAAGAAAATTTTTATTTAAAAATATAACAATACAAATATAATTTTATTGTGCTTACAAGCCTTAATTCTATTAAATAGTTATAGCAACATTTACAAAATAAAAATTGATATTTTCATTTAATTATAAATTTAAACAATAAATTTATTACAACTTATTAAGCTTAATAATGAAAACTTGAAGCAAATTTAAAAATAAACTTGAATAAAGTTGAAACAAAAAATAAATAAACTTGTTCGTAAAAACAAGTTGTAATTAATTAAACTTGTTTTAGTACCGTTAGAATCAAGTTTCTAAGTTTAACTCAGGTCAGGTTTAAAGTGCAGTTACAAACAAGTTGTAATTAAATAAACAAGTTTTAATTAAACTTGTTTGTAAAACAAGTTTTAATTAAATAAACTTGTTTTACAAAAAATATACCTGGTTGATGTTTTTATAATTCGTAAAAACATAATAACCTTATAAAAACAATATTAAATAAACTTGTTTTTACAATTAAGATGTTTAAATTATTTATTGTAATGTTTACAACTTTAATTATTTCAACAGGTTTAATTAAACTTATTTTCAAGTTTTAAACATGTTTTTAAAGTTGTTTACGCAATTCCTACTGTTGAACAAAATTTCATCGTTGCCTGTCACAACTTGTTTCGCTCTGGGCCCGTAGAATAAATTCGGGGTAACATAACCGGTTGAATAACCGGGTAAAATAACCTTGGGTTAAATAACCCTGAGTTCCGAGTAAAATTGGTAGAATAAATTCCGTAGAATAAATTCGCATTTTTACTCCAAACTAGAGGTTACTGTAACTCGCGAGTAACTCTTTAATTTTATTTCTATATTGAACTTACATTAACTGCTTTAACTATTAAGTAAAATCATTAGAGTTAGAAGTTTGAAAATGCCGGATCCGGTTTCCGCATTTTAATTTTTTCTCATTCGGACTGGACTTTACGGATCAAAATCCGGATTTTTTATACCCGGATCCAAACCTGGATTTTCAAAAAAAATTTTTTTCATAAATATTTTTTCATTTTTTGAATATAAAATTTTTTTCAAAATTTTGAAAACTTAATATATTTTGGAAAAGAGCAATCGAGACGCGTTTTACCCTGTTACACTGCCCCCGACCAGTGTAGCAATTTTACCCTTAGCTGAGGGTTATTTAACCCGAGTAAATAATTTATTCTACCAATGTGAAAAGCTACTCGGGGTTATGGGTTAAACTACCGGGTTGTTTAACCCTGAACTCAGAGTAGCAATTTATGCTGCGGGTTGCGAGTTATTTGACCCTCGGGTAGGGGTTAAATAACCCTTACCCCGAATTTATTCTACGGGCCCTGATGTAGCTCGTGGCAAAGGAGAGAATTCAGACGGATTTTTACCAGAAGGGGCGAATATAAAACAAATATTATATGATGATGAGATGGAAAAAATTGCTAGAAAATGGAATTGTTCGGGTGGAAATGACGAGGAATATGGGGAAAATGTTTATGGTTATACAGGAAAACCCGGTGATTTTTTGTTTAATATTTTTGGGAATTAATATATAAATTTTTTAAAATTGTTTAAGACAAACTATTTTTCAAACAGCCACAGGAAGAGGAATAATTTTGAAATTTATTGTAAATGTTAGGGTTGAGGTTTTCGAGCCGGGCTGCATCTTTTCGAGTCATTTTTTGGGCATCATTTTTATCGGGCCGGCTCGACCGAGTCTTTTTCTGGCCAAAATTCGATGCCCGACCGGGCCCCCAACCAATCATAATTTTTCAATAAAGTTAGAAAACTTTTGATTGATTCCTCACATCCCCTTTTCTATTTCCCTTTACACTTGTAGTAAATAAAAAAAAAAAACTCTCTTCTTTTTCTCAATCAATTTAGACACAAATACAAAATAAAAAAATCCTTTTTTACTTTTCTTTTCAAAACAAAATAAGAACATAAAATACGAATGAACGAACAACAACAACCTATGGGATAGAAATGGGGTTTACATTAAAAGAGGGCTTTCATCGGCTCCAAGACTTTCATCGGCTTTGAATTTTGCATTTGATGGTTCATTTCCTTCGAAAAATTCTCAGAATAATTAAAGACTCCGATCAACGTGACCAGTTTTTCCGAGTTCAAACACCCCCGAACTCCGAGAAAAAATCGTCCCGTGATTTTTCTTTTCAAAAATCCACATTCAAAATCTTTTCCAAAATTATTCCTTACAATTTCCTTCCTTAGAATCTCGCATTTTAGCTTTGCCAAAATTCTTGATTCCCTCAATTTGGATCTTAACATTTTTCTTTTCTCAACAATATTTTCATTTTCTTTCAAAACTTTCAATTTATCTCTTGACGGGAGGATTTCCTTTTCAGGATCCTTCTCAAACACTTCCAATTTAAATTCCAAACATTCTTTTTCATCAACTTTTTCTTCCAAAATCTTTTTCAGATCAAAATCTTCTTCTAATTCTTTCAAATCAACACAATCTTCACTCACTTTTTCCAAAACAAAACATTCTTCTCTTTTAGAACATACAATTTCTTCCTTAACTTCTTCATGTGAAACATGAATATCCTCTTCTGAAGCAATTTCTTGAAAAACATGGATTTCTGTTGGAATAGGAAATTCAACAGATACCAAATCTTGTTTTCCATCTAAGGAGCAGTTAAGTTCCACATCCAATTCACAAAATTGTTCTTTTCCAAAATCTTCCACTAAACCCATATCCAAATCTTTTTCCACCATTAACTCATTTTCAACAGTTGGTTCAAAATTTTCTAAAAATTTTTCTTTTAAATTTTCCAATTTGCTTTCGTTTTTGGCCGAATCTTCGTCGATTGGCTTTTCGAAAAATTCCAAAATTTCTTGTGAAAATTCTTCTTTTTCAAATTTAATGTTGACCTTATTTTTGAATGATGGAGTGGGAATGTTTTGCTGTTTGTAACTTTTCTCATGCTCTTTCAAATTTTTCTTTTGCTGTGGGGAATTGGTTCGCAAAGTACCTTCAAGAGAACTTTGGTTTTCCCCAAAATTTTTCTTTTCCTTGGTAATCTCTTTTAAATTTTGCCCTTCGTTTGTAATCCCCTTATGTTGATGGTTTTTCTGCGGACTGTTTTTGAACTCATTTGGTAAAAGCTGAGAAAGAATACTTTGACTGATTGAAGAATAAGTTAAGGGTTCGTTAGTAATAGCCTTTTTCAAAGCATGGCTTGTCTGCTGCTCAATTTCGATTTGAGAGCCTTAATTCTTTTCTTGTCTGGCCAATCCTCTGTAGAAACTTTGAATTTCTTGAAAAATTTCTTAATTTCAAAAGATCCTTCAGTTCCATCCAAATCTGGAATTGTGTCTAACAGAAGATTTTCCATGTTTGCCAGTGACGCATTTTCGGAGACAAGATTAGGATTTTGTTCGAATGGTTGCATTGTTGGTATGAAAGGATAGGGGTATTGCATTTGGTGATAAAAACCATTATTTTGATGACCAAAGAAGATTGGGAAGCCATAAGGCTGCGAATTATTTATTGGCATATTCATTGGAGGGTAGACTGGGTAAGGCTGGAAGAAATATTGATTTTGTTGTGATGGTTCCATTTTTTTTTTGAACGTTGAAGAAATTTCAAATCCTATCCACCGAGGCTAGAATTTGAAGTGAAGAAAATTCAATCCACCCACCGAGGGAAAACTGAATAAGATTTTTTTTGAAAAAATCTCAAAAAAGTTGTCAATACGAAAACTATTCCACCGGGGAATAACTTTTCAAAAAAAAATATTTGTTGTTGTTGTTGCAAAAAAATTAAATTCCTGGTCCACCGGTGGCCAACGAAGATCAATAATAAAAAGTCAATTCGTAAATAAATTAATTTCTTTTTCCCACAAAGAACAACCTCTGCCTCAGGAGCGCCAAGTAGTAAATAAAATTAAATAAACTCTCTTCTTTTTCTCAATCAATTTAGACACAAATACAAAATAAAAAAATCCTTTTTTACTTTTCTTTTCAAAACAAAATAAGAACATAAAATACGAATGAACGAACAACAACAACCTATGGGATAGAAATGGGGTTTACATTAAAAGAGGGGAGAGAATAATTGGATGGGGTCAAAATATGGGGAGAGAACGAAAGAAAAACAAATGCTATTTCTTTTTAGCATCACACACTTCCTAGTTTCAAAATACTTTTCATTCCCAATTTCTGATATCTAGGTCTCAGTTTCCAAATTATTCCTGTTCTAGAGATACCTGCAGCTTTCGGGCCCGGCTTAATATTAACAAATTTTTTAGCCAATGTGCTGCTAAAAGCATGTATTGCTTGGGCTGATACTTGTAAATATGGAGTATCTGAAGAGTTAATTTACGATTCTGAACATTCTCGAAGTGGTTCGTGTACACAAATGATATGGGCAGAAAGTTTTAAAATTGGTTGTGCCTACATTGATTGTCCAATATATAATTATTTTGTTTGTAAATACAGTCCAAAGTTGGGATTTTTTAAACTTTTTTTAGTTAAACGAGAGGAATAGAAATCAAAAATGAGTTTGGTCCAATAGAAAAAAGGACGAAATCAACGACTAAAAAATTTGGAGCTGAGCCCTCCCCTTCTATAAAATATCTCCTTTTTTATTAAAACTAGAGTAGCACGCCGAGCCTTCAGGGGCAGGAACGTCGGGGATCGGGGTTTGCCGGTGTAGAGCTTTCGGGGTTCGTGTTGGAGTTTCTGGGGGACGCTATGCTACCCTAATTAGAACTAATATATTAACTCGTCTTTGACTATTGAGAAACGTGGACATCCAATAAAATTTTTTTAAAATACCCTTTGATCCGCCTCAGATTTCTAAAATCGAATAATTTCTAAACAAAAGTTTAAAAATTTAAATTAAATAAAAATTTGCAGAGGGAATATTCCTGGAGAATCAATTTACCAAAAAGGAAGTCTATGCACAAAATGTGGATATTTTGGATGTTCATATGGATATGGGTTGTGTTTAGTTAAAAATATAAGTGAATATCCTGACGATTAAATTATTTAAATGAATATTTAATAAATTAATTTATTTTACAATCCAAGTTTTAAATTTAACTTGTTTTACAATCAAATTAAAAATATTTATTTTCCAATAAAAAAAAGCTCGTTTGTAAAAAATTTTTCAAAAAAAGCTTACGACACCCCCGATTCCCAGGACGTCTCCGTTCCAAGTACTAAGGAGGCCCAGCGTTGCTTAACTTGCCAGATCGGACGGGATGGCGTGCTTTCAACGTGGTATGGTCGTAAGCAAGAGTAACCTCTCTTTTATTAACTATATAGAAGAGAAAATGGCAAGTACAGTATTCTCCCTCACAGACCAATATTACATATTTAAATGCTCAAGTGAAAGATAATGTTTAATTATCATTTTCTACCTCCATTGGAGAAAGTTGAAGCCAAGGTTTTTTTGGTGTGAATGAAAATCCCCAAAAGTATAAAAAATGTGAAGGAAAATTATGAAAAATTTTGTAAAAAAATATTTGAAGTAAATATCAAATAAAAATAATTAAAAAGAAAATTTTAGTTAATTCATTTATTCAATTAAAAAAATAAAGCAAATTTTAAAAATTAAAAAAATATTTTTAGTTAGTTGAGAATTAAAAACAATTCTTCCACAAATTAATCCATTCCTCCATAAATTAATGTTCCACGTCCACGACCATCTTGCGAATCTAAAAATGATTTTATTCTCTTTAAGGTATTCAAATAAAATACTAGAAATTGTTCAAAAGAGGAAGGGCGGAATTTTTTTTACCTGCAAGGAAAGGAAAAATGGAGACGGATGGACTAGGACAGACAAAACACGGACTGACATCAATTTCTAAAGCATTTCCGTCTAAAGGAGCTGATCCGCAAATTAATAGTTACCCAACTTTTTCGCACAAAACAGTAACGATTAATGTAAAAATTACATACTTAAAAGTTTTTGATTTGTACAAGTAATTCGGTTTGAAATACGGAGAACTCCATCAAGTTGTTGTCTATTTAAATTCCCATTATTTACAATTTTTTTAAGATTGTTTGCAATTATTTTGTTGGTGTCCAACAATTTTGAAATTTCCTTTCGGCCCATATTCTAAAAAATAAAAAAGAGAGGTAAAAATTTGAAAACAACTCTACCTTATTTTTTTTAAATCTTAATGGAAATTGGCTTGTTGGATGGAGGATGTTCCAACTGAAAATAATTTTAAAAATTAGAAAAAAAATAAAAAAAAAGTTAAGAAGAAACAAGGTTAAAATATTTTTGCAATGAAAAAAAAATCATATTTTTATTTAAATTTTTGTTAATGGGATAAATTGTCTGAGAACAGCACGAGGGAAAAGGACGATTCAGATCGGCCGATTCAGTATCAGCCTATTCAGTACACGGCCAAAGGGGGACGTTCCCACTGATAATTCCAACTTCAACTAATGCCAACATTATAAGGGGTTGGCATTATCTGGTATTGGTATTATATGGTGGAGACAAGGGGGACGATTCAGTATTCCCATCCCTAGTAGAAGACTACATCGCAGGTTCTGTTTAAACTTTTCGAATTCCGGAAGCCCTAATATAGCTAGATCAACGAGCTGTTTGAATCGGTCATTCTTGGATTGGCGATATCGTTTTTACTGACCTAAACTGGACCTAATTTAATATTCCCGAACTGAGCTATAATTTAAAAATGCTTAAAAGACATATTGCCAAAAAATATTTTTAGCGTTTTTAAAAATTTTAAACTTTTGACTAACCCAAAATTTTTAGAGTCAATTGATAAAACATTGTCATAGTTACAATTTACAATTTGTGAAAGAACAAATCCAAGCAAGCCATTATTTTCCATAAAAGCTTGATTAGTCAATGAAAGTTGCTAAAAATAAATATTGCTTTTGGAATTTTCTCGAGTTTAAGTATTAGATAAGTATATAACGGTGATGTTGCAAAAAGAATTTAAGGCTGTTATAGTATACCGGTAGAAAGGTTTCAATATAAGACCCATACCTTTCGATTTGTCTTGACGAGCAGAGTTGAACGGTACCACTTTTTTCCGGAGATGCCGGTGGACCGAGTTATAGGTCCTTTAAAATCGAAAAACCAGGGTTTTGCACAAGCGCCTCGCCTACGCGTTTACTTGCCATTTTGAACTGCTTAGAAGCAAGATCTCGAGCTGATTTTGGTGTCATTCGACTCAGCCTAAAGGATCTATATCTCGGTCCACAGGCATCTCCGGAAAAAAGATTGGTACCGTTCGGCTCAGCTTGGCGAGATGAATCGAATGGTATGGGTCTTATATCGAAACTTTTCCACCGGTATACTATATGGAATTAATAAAGGAGGTGGGAGCAGGATAAAATAAAAAAATAGAAGAAACGAGCCAAAAAACAAGGTTATAATTCCCAGAAGGTTGATCACTAACAACTATCAGATTCAAAAGAGAGCAGCCCTCTGTGAGGTGACCTTCTTGGTCAGACCCTCTGATTTCTGGATTTATAAGCTAATTAATTTTTAACATTTTCACCTTATTTTTAAGGTTTTTTAATTTTTTCAAAACTTTTTTAACATCCACATCATCCACACTAAGCAATTTCAATTGGTTAGTTAATTGATCCAACTGATCTTTACTTAAAACAAATTTTGAGGAATTTGTTGAAATGAGTTGGTTGTTGGGCAATAAATAATTGGGGGAATTGTTTGTTACTTTCATTTTTTAAAGTAGAAAATGATGAAACAAAGTTTTGATTTTTTTGTAAATATTTTTTGTTGTCAAGAAAAGTAATAACTAAATTTACTGTAAAAAATTTTTTTAATTAATAAGCTAGTATATAAAAATTAATTCGAACAAAAAATATTCTAAAGCAGCGAAGGCAAGTATCAAGTAGGGTTGTTGGAGCGGGTGAGGGGCAAAATGAGGTCTTTCCAAAACACGGAACGACAAAATACGTACCTACAAAAACACGGAACGGCATAAGGCGGAACGACCAAAACACAGTCCTCGTTTTGGCATTTTGGTCGTTCCGCGTTTTGGTACGACCTCGTTTTGTCGCTCCGTATCCGTTCTAGCCCGACACGGTTGGCGCCCATTTAACCGAATCGAAAACTTGGAGTCAAAAAGCGGTCATAATTGAGGATGTTGGTTAATAACCGGTCGTTTACCTGAAAAGAGGGATAAAAAGCCAAAGAACTAAAAAAAACCCGACTTTTTCCCACTCGTGATTTAGTAATTATTAAGGAAAAATGAGCACATAATATTTAAAAAAATTAATTTATATATTGCAAAACATATGGGTAAATAAATGCCATTTATGTCTCCACGCCCCTTTTTTCACTTCTCTAGGCAAATAACTGTCAGATTAATATTTTTTGAATTCTCCCCTTTTCTGGATGAATAAAAGATGCGAAAATGACCGAAAATGAAAGGGGCATTAATTTAAATGGAAAGAAAGGGAGGAATTATAAAAAATTTGTTTCGATAGAGAATGGCAATTTAAGAGTAAAAGATTTCAAATTTAATCTATGAAAGATGCTTCAGAATAAACACGAATAATCTGTTGAGTTTTAGAAAGTTTCAATTTATTATTTTTCAAATTTTTAATTAGATATTAACCTAATAAAAACTCTAGCTTAAAAGTACTAAGGAGGCCTTTTTGAATAAGTAAAATTTAATTAAAAAATATTAAACTGAACATTTGACTTAAAAAAAATTTTCTAACGAAAAATTTTCTAAAAAAGCTTACGACACCCCCGATTCCCAGGACGTCTCCGTTCCAAGTACTAAGGAAGCCCAGCGTTGCTTAACTTGCCAGATCGGACGGGATGGCGTGCTTTCAACGCGGTATGGTCGTAAGCGAGAGAAACTCTTCTTTTATTATTTATATAGAAGAGAAAATCTAAAATAGAGTGTTTCCACACAAACCAAATGTTAATTAATCCAGTTGCTAATTTTAATTTTTGATTACTACTCGTTTTCTAAATAAAATATCAAAAATATAAAAACAGTCAAAAGAATTTTATTTTAATTTTAAAATACAATTATAATATGTTTTTTAATTAGTCCCGTTACTAATCTTGTAGGGTTAAGCGTGGTAAGGAAGAAATGGAGGGAGGAGAGAGAGAGGAGAGATCACTGACCAGAAAATCAGAATTTAATATAAACGAAAAAAATTATTTAAAAAAATATTTACAGGAAATTTAAAATATATATTCTGATTTTCAAATTAAAAGTAATTTTTTGAAATTAAAAATATTTTTAAAAATTTCTAAAAAATTTTTTTGAAATTTTTTAACCTCAAAAAATTTTTCGAAAATTTCAAAAAAATTTTTAATTATCAAAATTTTTTTCCAAAAATAAGATCTCTAAAAATTAATTAATTTTAATATATTTTAAATTTCAAAAATAAAATTATATATTTATTTTTACATTAACACAATTTTAATTTTTCAGGGTAATTTGTGGTATAGGGGGAATTCTTTTAAAAACTTTTTGTTTAAATATGTCCTCAATTAATTTAAAAATTTTCTTTCTATCACCGGTAGATCTTCTCAATTTTTAAAATTTAAATTTAAGCCATTCGTTTATGCGCGCCTTGCACAACACTCAATTTTGAATTTGCATGGCCTTGTAAAGGCTAAAAATAAATTTTATTTTTAGTTAAAAATTGAAGTATTTTGGTACGTTTCGGCGCGACATTGTTACGGCGCGAATTAAAGAATACACTAAAGTAATGAACTTATGACCACGAAATTTTGCACTAATATTCTTGAAAGTGTTAGCTATATTCACTATAAATTTCAGAATTTTTTGTAAAATAGGAAAAAAGTTATGGTCAAAAAACTAAAAGAAACTAGGCATTTCCAAGCAAAATTCTGATATTTTTGACCAGAATTTCTGAAATACATAACCAAAAATTCTGAAATTTTCAGACTAGCTAGATAACATAATCAATGATATCTGAGCAAAATTTAAAGGCAAAAGGATGTCTTTAGACTATTTTATGAGGTCAGAAGTGAAACGCATTTTTGCGCCGAAATGTCCCATCCAATTAGAAAAAATTTTAAAAATTAAATAAAATTCACTTCAATTCCAACATAAGGGGCTTCTTTAGTTCCGTGCAACATTAAAGAGAATTTTTTAAGCCATCCAGTATGATGTTTTTGTTGTTCAACAGGTGTTGATTTTCCGCTTTGGAAACGAACAACTAAACGCCATTTTCCCCGAGGATTTTCCCCCCAAGTATGCGTTGTCATAAAAGGCCAATTTCTGTGAGGAATGAATTTATATTGGGAAATTTTTTGTTTAAAAATTTACGTAAATCCATCTTTAGAATCGTCGTCTTTTGGGCGTCGGGATAACAACATTGAAGGTGTTCCCATTGGACTAATTAAATATAAAGTTGTGTCTCCACGTCGGGAAGTGTTTAATGAGACGATTGCCTAATTAAATAAATTTTTAAAATATTTTTTTTGATTTAAAAAATAAAAAATTAGGTAGTTTCCAAGGAAAAGCATGTTTTATGCGAACTAACGTCTTGCTAACTTTTATAAGTTAGCCAAAAGAGAACCTAAATTTCTAAAATTTTGCATAGATATAGTCAATATGTTTAAATAATAATTCTGAAAATTTCAGAATTTTTGATTGAGTAAATCAGAAATTATGGCCAAAAATGGTGAATATTGGGATAACAGAAAATACCGTATGTGTTCGCTTTTTCTTCCATAATTTAGGAAATAATAAACCAAAAATTCTGAAATTTGGAGAGATGTTAGGCAACAATATTAGCTATAACTCTGCAAAATTTCAAGAATTTATGACCACTTAAGGCTATTTTACAAGCGTGCGACTACATGCGTCCTAAACGGTCCTTTGCATTATTTCTTTATTAAATTTTTGTTGCAAAAGAATTTAAAAAATATTTTTTTAATTTTTCAAAAAATCCACCTGGACATGTTCTAAGAAGTTAACTTCAGTAGAAGTCCCAACACAAGCATCAGTATTTAATTCTAAAACTAAATCTCCAGTTGGTGGAATTCTGGTAGGGTGTTCAATTGTTCCAGCTTCACAGTGGAAACGTGGAGGCATTGTTTTCCATACTTTTGCCATTAAAACAATCTCTGCTGCATCGAGGACTCCGTAACTAATTTAGAAAATTTATTTTTTTATTTTAGAAAATTTTTGAAATTAAAATAATTTTTTTTATTTTTCAAATTAAAAAAATGATAAATTTGGGTATATTTGAGGGAACATAGCTTGCTTCGCGCAACTATAACTTCTATAAAAGTGAGCCTAAAATCGTGAAATTTTGCATAGATATAGGCAAAAGTGTTATTTAACAATTTTAAAAATTTCAGAATTTTTGATTAATTATTTCAGAAGTTATGGCAAAAAATCAGAGAAAAAGAGGGATTTTAACTGTGAAATTCTGATATATTTGACCAGAATTTCTGAAATAAATTTTAAAAAATTCTGAAATTTTTTGAGTTGTTAGGCAAGCTTATTAACGATATCTGTACAAAATTTAAAGCCCCAAGTTAACTCTTGTCTATTTTATAAGCAAAAAATTAAGCTCTACTTCACTCACAAACTTTCTTAAGTTAATTATTTTTTTCATTAAAATAAATTAAAAAAATAACCCAAATAAATGGTTATATTCCAACCCAACACCATTCATTTGCCATTCAAAATGTGAGCAGTTTGGTAAACCTTTGTATAATTGTCTAGTAACTCCTTTGAGGTTTAGAGGTGGAAGTTCACGACAACGTCCATCAAATAAAGAATTACGTGAAGACTTTAAAAGAAATAAAAGATCATTATAAGATCACCTTTTGGGGCTGAAAAATTGTCTCTTATAATGAGGTGTGCATTAAATAGAGAGGTGTATCGCTTAACAGCTCCCTCATCCAAAGCCAAATAAATTTAAAAAGTATCTTAAATTGAGGGTAAATCCAGCATTGAGGGTATCTTATAATGAACAAAATTTTAATTACAGTCAAAACAGTCAAGTGTTGCAAGTCCCTCCAACTCAAATTCGGATTTGCCTCCAAAGCCAAAGCAAAAACGCCAGCAGCTTCTGGAGCAGCTGCAGAAGTGCCAGAATGTGAGCGAGTACAGCGACCGTATAAATCTGTTGTGGCTACTCCACTTTCCGGATTTCTACCTCCATTGGAGAAGGTTGAAGCTAAGGTTGAGGAACAGCTTCTAAAAGAATTTTAAAATTTTTGAAAAATTTCCAAAAAAAATCTTAAATGCCCACTCATCATAATGTGCATTCTCTCCATTATTTATAGCAGAATTAATCGAAATTGTCCACATACTGGCTGCATAACCATCACAATTACAATCATCATCTTCTCCTCCATCCCCACTTGCCCAAACAAAGATAGAGCCTAATCCGTTTCTTCCTTCATTTACTCCTTTTACTATTGCACTAAAAAATTAATTTTTAAAAGATAAAAAATCATTTCTACCAAAAAATTTAAAAAAAGCCTACGACACCCCCGATTCCCAGGACGTCTCCGTTCCAAGTACTAAGGAGGCCCAGCGTTGCTTAACTTGCCAGATCGGACGGGATGGCGTGCTTTCAACGCGGTATGGTCGTAAGCAAAAGCTTACCTCTTTTTATTAATTATATAGAAAAGAGAAAAGTTGGAAAGAGTCTAGGAGGGGGAACGTATCATTTCGAGTCTTCGATTTTATCACAATTTTTATTGTCTCAAGACTTTTTCAACTTATAAAATTTTAATCACCGCATTGTAGCATTTCTCGGTCCATCAACAGTCTTTCCATCATCTGTCGGTCCCCAACTTGCAGAGTAAATGTGTATTTTGTTTGGTTCGTGTCCCATAGAGTTAGCCTCTATTAAATCAGTCATGTATGGCTGGTCAAGCATTCGTATACCGGCAACTTTACTGTCATAAGCAACACCGACCTTTTTTAATTTTTTATTAATATTTTTCCAAATAATTTCCTCTAATTTTGTTATTTTCTCATGTAAATTTTGCACAATTTTTAAGAAAAAATTACCCCGCAAACTCCATTATCTCTAGCTGCAGAAATTTCACCTGCACAGCGTGTACCGTGTGAATTAAACCTGTTAATTATTTGCAAAAATATTTTTTCTCTCTGTTTTTTACAGTCAAACATCATTATAAGGTACCTCTTAGGGCTGGAAACTCTTACCTTATAATGAGGCGTGTGTTAAATAGAGGGTATCTCTTATAATGAGAGTTTCTTAAACAGGAGGTATTCTAAAAAGTATCATAATTCCGGGGATGAAACACTCTTACCTTATAATGAAGAGTATGTTAGATAGAGGGGTTCTCTTATAATGAGCGTATCTTAAATAGAGGGTATTCTAAAAAGTATCCTAATTCTGGGGCTGAAACACTCCTACCTTATAATAAGGCGTCTGTTAGATAGAGGGTTTCTCTTATAATGAGCGTATCTTAAATAGAGGGTATTCTAAAAAGTATCCTAATTCTGGGGCTGAAACACTCCTACCTTATAATAAGGCGTCTGTTAGATAGAGGGTTTCTCTTATAATGAGCTGTATGTTAAACAGAGGGTATTCTACAAAGTATCCAATTTCTGTGTATCCTATAATGAGGTTTGACTGTAATAACAAACACACAAACCAATCATCGGTGTAGCGTGGATAGGGATAAGGATCATTAGAACTAAAATCGTAGCTCGCTTCAGCATTAAAATTTAATTTCAAGTCTGGATGCATATAATCAACTCCATCATCCATTATTGCTGTGGTTATGTTTTTGCCTGTATATCCAAGTGCCCAAGCCTTTTCTACATTCAAATCCAACCGGGGTTTGCCTTGGGATTGACCGTCGTTTTTCAAGTACCATTGGTATTGGTATAGTGGATCAGAAGGGGAGTGAACTTTAAAAAAGAGGAGGGATTAGAATATTAATTTTTATATTTGAATTCCAACAGCATATGGATTATAATGTTACCTCAGACCAGCGTTAGCGTTTTGAGCAGCGGATATGAACTTTTGTCAGAGTATTGTAACCGCCGTTCAATACTCTAACCTGGGAGGGGGAGGTAATAACTACAACAAAACCTATTTTAAGAACCTTCGTCAAAGTATTATAACCACTGTTTAATTGGTGAGAGGTAAAGGTATAACGAGATTAATTGACCAGCAAATCCAACCCATTATTTAATCTAGGGTTGAAATCCTTATAGAAGAGATACTCTTATTCTTAGGGAGAATTTGACGTTTATCTTAGGAAGAATGGAATGTCGCAAAATTTTTAAAATAGAAAATAAAGCTTGCCCTTACAATTATATAGTCAGTCATTAATTTTTAATAAATTAATTTTTAATATTTTACATACCTGCAGTAAAATCCAATTGCTCTTGAAGTCTGTCAGCTAATGGACGATAACCACGTTTGAGTCGTTTATAACCTTTTTAATTATTTTTGAAATATAAAATTTTTTATGAAATTTAAATTACCAGTCATTTGCTCCACATATTTGATCTAAAAAATGAAGCAAATAAATATTTTTAATAAATTATATGATGAATTTTGCAAATTTATACTTTTGCGAACACCCACTAACGTCCCAATATTGTATCTCAATATTAAGTAAAATACTTTTTTGGTTGGCTACTAGGTGAGAAGCTCCCTAAGGGATATCCTCTGTTTAAGTAACCTCCATTATAAGGTACAATTTTTCTTTAACTTTAAGAAAATTGAGATTAGTCTTATAAAAAACACCTATAAATTAATGACCGTTTGTTAAAAAATTACCGTATATACTCTATTAATTACTCTGGGTAATTATCATTCTCACCTTCTCGCTGGAGGGAGTAATTAATAGAGGTGGGGTAATTATTAGAGGCTATTTATACAGGCTAATTATAACTATATAGTTTTAAGGGGCAATTATTGATTGAACAATTCGCTATAGGGAAAATTTACCGTTTATTGAAGGAAAAAATTTCCGCTTAGAGTGTGGGTAATTAATAGAGTACATACGGTAAGCCCTATTTTTGTCCGCAAACATTTGTCCGCAAATTCATTAACACAAATTTATTTTAAAAAATTCCTTACGTGTGGATCGCGTGCCAATTTAGTATGGTGACCTATTGAACGTCGAGTTCTGGCATGAGAAAGTGCGGGTTGGACAAAATGATATTCAGAATCAGAACCGAGAAGCTTGAAAAATATTAAAAAAATTAAAATTCAGCAGACATACAGGTCCTCGATTAATAAATCCATTACGTTTAGCAACTTTGTGTGCATTGTGAATTCCAGGTTCGTTTAAATGTACAAGAAAATGATTTGTGAAAACCTTGAAGAGAAAGTTGTTAATTTTCGCCGAATTTTCTTAATATTCTCTTAATTAGCTTCACATTTAGGGGTGGCTTCTACATTGCCAAAACAACCCCCTAATAGAGGAGAATTACTCTTTAAGTTAAGATGGAAAATTGTTGTTCCAAAAAGGGGAACAATAAAAAAGCGGGGAAAGCTTTCAAGATTCGTTGCCTTCCCAGAAAAAATTTTAAGAGGAAGTTGGAGGGGCATTCATTTAATTTTAGTGAGCCTTGAAAGCCTATATTGTATGTTATGTCCATAAAAACCTACTTCAATACCCAACGTATATTCACTCATTAAAGGTATTATCAATAACAATGTTGCCACCATTTTTGTAAAAATAATAATCGGATTTGTTGCTATTCCACCTCTGACATGGCTATTAGAAGGAGGTGGCATTCTCTACTAATTTTTCTCTCCTTAAAGGAACGTGAATTTCGAGAAAAATGAAAAATGCGGTGCCATAAAAGCAAAATAAAGGGAAAAAACCTTTTTAGCTTTACCGGCTTTGACGGTAAATAAAAAAACGAAAAAAGAGAAGAAAATGCCGCTGATATTGAAGGGAAAATGGCACAATGTTTGAGATAAAATGAAAGAAAAGAGGAAAATGCCGCTCGCGTATGAATAAAAAATAAAAGAAAAAGCTATGGGGACAAGCGCGCATACAAAGGAAAAAACGTCAACAAAGGCATAGAGAAAAGAATAGAAAAATTATGACAAAAAATGTTTTAGACTCCTTTTGGTCTTGGAAAACCTTGGAAATTCTTACTAAATAAATTTCTGAGAATTAAATTTGTAAACAAATTGATTTAGAGGTTGGTACGAATTGAGAGAAGTAGTGCCAGGATTTTGTCTATAAATGAGCCTAAAATAGAGTTAGGGTCATGAAATTTTGCAGAGATGTTGAAAATAGTGTTATCTAATAATTCTGAAAATTTCAGAATTTTAGGTTGAGTATATCAGAAGTTATGGGTGAAAATTTGGAACAAGTCTGCATTTTTCAGAATTGTCAAATACGCGCTACCTTTTTAACCATAACTTCTGAAATAATTAACCAAAAATTCTGAAATTTTCAGAATTGTTAGATAACATATTAACAACATCTTAGCAAAATTTCATATCTCTAAATGCTCTTCTTGCTATTCTATAAAATAAGAACTGAACGTCGTTCACCAAGAAAGCTTTCCTTTAACAAGAGAGTTTCAGGCAAAGTTGAAAGGTATTTACGAGGGGATACGGTATACAAACGAAAAATAAATTATTTTTTAGCCTCCTTTAAGCCTTAAATTTTATTGGTACCAATAAAATATTATTTAAAATTATTTTAAAATTTTATGACGAATTTATTTAAGTAATCGAAGACCAACCAAAATTTTTATTTCTTCCTTGTGAAGCTTATAAAGTTGACTGACACCAAAAAACAGATGGGTAAAGGGAAGATGTTTTAACGTGAAATGGACGGGAATACTCGTCTTTTATGGCAAAACTACTAGCCTAGTCTATCGATTTCTAGAAAATGCCAATGTTAATGCTTACATAGCCTCAGGGCATAGAATATGTAGTTGCTTGAAAGCTTTGACAAAATTGTGTATGTTAAAGAGAAAAGAAATTTTATCCGTTGTTAATACTACAAATTGAGGGGGGAGTACAAACATAAAGCTATATACACAAAAAATTGTGTATATTTCAAGTAATGAAATTTTTAAAGAAAATAAAATTTAAAAAAAAATCGGTGAAGCATGGGACATATTTTTGAATGAAAAAAATATTTTTGGGGTTTGGGTTAATTCATATTTTTAACACGGGTCCAGAAAATCTCATAAAACACTTCAGAATTTGAACAGAATATTGGTATTGGAACATGTAGAGACAAAGCACAGTCAATACTATTCACACATTAGTTAAACACCCCCATTCATTTCACTTATATGTAGTAAACAAATTTTAAAATAAAATTTTTGAAGGTCTAAAATTATGTAAAAAACATAATATCGACATAACAAATTGAATTTATTACTTGTAAAAGTGGATGATGTTTTTACATTCGGACGGTGTTTCACATTATCTGGGGCTACCGAAGGTCATTAGAAAAATTATTATTATCTCAAATAATTACCCTCTCCAGCGAAAGGTGAAGAAATAATTTCCATGGGTAATTATTTTAGCAAATACGCTACCTCAATTTATCCAACTTCTAAGATATCATCAACTATCTTTAATAACTACTCGAAAAAATAAATATCCTTTTATCCCCCCTTTCCTTCAATTATTTATTTTATCAAAATAAACTTTAATTCCAATTTTTAAAAAATAATTTTTGTACTTTCCCCTCTATTTATCTGCTTCTTCCAATTTTTCTTCTCCACGTTTTTATTTTATTTTAATTTTTACACAACTTTGTTTTGGACTTTAAACTTTTTTCAAGCGTCTTTTTTCCTTTTCCAATGATTTCTTTTTTTATTTTAATAATTTTTAATGCTTCTTCTTTTTTATGTTTTTAACGTTGGTTAATCTCTAATAAGAGGAAAAGGCTTAAAAAAGGAAAAAAAAAATTTTTTTCCTTCTGAAAAGCCACGCATGCATGTTCCCCCCAATCTTCCTTTTTCCTTCCCCTCTTCCTCTTACATGAAGGAAAAAATTTTTTTTTCTTCTTCCTTTAAAAATTGATGTATTTTAGCATTAAATAAATTAAATAAAAAAATGTTAAGCATTAATTCTATACGTTCTAATAATTAAATAAAATTAATAAACGTGCGCAAGGCGCATTTCGGCGCGAGACACTTACGGCGCGAAGTTAAATTTTATTAGGAAGAAGTGGTTGTATTTTCTTGAAATTTTGCAGAAATATTTTGGAGAGTGTTGACTAATAGTCTTATAAATTTCATATTTTTTGGTTCAAAATTTAAAAAGTTATGGCCAAAAATGCAAGAAAAATAGCTTATCTTACCCCAAAAAGTGCGCATTTTTTATTATAATTTTCCAAATACCAAGCCTAAAATTCTGAAATTTTTGCTGGGAGTAGTTAAGAGTGTTAGAAATATTTGTACAAATTTTTATCAATTTTATTATTTTTTGGATAGTATAGGACCGCGCCTTAGCGTCCCGTTCAAGCGTACTTCCTCATTTTCAGTGGTTACGCTTGGTTGGAATTTTGTCTTATTTTATTTAAAAAATATTTGTGTAAAAGACGAGAATTTTGTATTTTATAAAGAAAAGGGACCAAAAATAAATTTTTAATAAATTCCCCAATTTGTAGATAGATGATGATGAAAATTTTGAAGAAGGGAATTTGGGCGTAAAAATTTTTTTTGGTAAAATTAAAGGGAATTTTTTTTATAAAAACTAATGATTAATCAAATAAAAATGTTTTAAGGTATTCCCCAAATTAATATCATGTAATTTGCAATTGGAAAAATTGTGTTGATTTTGCAAAAGAATTTTTGCTGATTTTTGATTGACTAGAATTAAATTAATTAACATTACAACTTGATTTACAGTTGTAAATTATAGAAAAACATTTAATTTTAGTTTGACAAATTGTTTGTAAAACAAGTTGAAAAACATTGTTTTACAACTTGTTTTCCCAACCTTATTTCATTAAAACTTGTTTTAAAACAAGTTGGAAAAACATTGCTTTAAAACTTGTTTTTCCCATCCTTGTTTGAGATTTTTTCATTAAAACATGTTTTACAAACAAGTTGGAAAACATTGTTTTGCATCCAAACACTCCCAACATTATTTTATGTTTTAATTTTAATAAACATAACAACCTTTAATACCCTCTCAATTAAAAAATTTAAAATCCTTCCAAAAAATATTTATTTTAAAAGATAAAAGGCTTATACAAAAAAAGATTATAAACAAAATAAAGACGAAATAAAAATTATTTTTGAGAAAGATAATTTTGAGAAAAGATATTTGTTGGAATGAGGAATAAAAAAGAGAAAATTTTTCTGAAAAACATTTAATTTATTTTTAGTTTTGTGAATGACCCGAAAAATAACGAGAAAAACAAATTTGAATTTTGTTAAATTTGTTTTGTATTAAATTGTTTTTGTATAAAAGATGAAGAAAATATAAAAGACCTGAGGAGTGATACAAATTTGTGTTTTGTTTTATTTAGAGTTCGAACATTAAACTTGTTTTACAAACAATTTGTTTTTACAAACAAGTTGTAAATCAAGTTGTAAAACAAGTTGTAAAAACAAGTTGTGAAAAGTATTGTTTTTGCAACTTGTTTTGCAACATGTTTTTCCAACTTTATTCAGTTTCTGTTTTTATTAAAACTTGTTTTACAATTCAAGTTTATTTTTTATGAGGCTGCATTATAAATAAACTTAAAACTTGTTTTATTTGTTTCTCTCATGTTTTTAAGCTTAAAAACATGTTTATATTTAAAACTTAAAAACAAAGTTCGAACTCTAATTAATTTACATTAAAAATAGCATAAATAGCTGAAAGATACTTAAATGCCGTTGTTCCCAAATTTTAGTTAAAAATATTTAAAAAATTATTTTTAGTTAAACAACGGCAAAAAATAAAAATTAAAGGAATTAAAATTATTTTTTTATTTGATTTTTTATTTTTATTCACCTCAAAAAATTTTTAAAAATTAATTATTTCTCTTCTGCTTTTGCTTTGCCATCATAATTGCCATCAGCGGGCACGTGGCTATTGCTGGGACACGAAGGAATTCCTGGTCTGCCAATTCCAGTCTCCATTCAGACGGTGCATTGTCCCCGTAATGTCCTCTAAAAAATTTTTTTCATTAGAAAAAAATTTTTTATTTTCTTCCCCCAACCTTCCTCCTCCTCCTCCCCTCATCATCAAAACACGAAAATGAAGAGATCCAACACCATCCAATGTCCAACGCTGTTCTTCCCCATCATTCACTCTAACCGACCACTGGCCATGTCCACAACGACTCGAATTTTTTGCACAAAAACTTCCTGTTGGAGTGCCGGTTGAAAGAAACAATTGAGCAGAATCGCCTAATAGAAACAAGATTTCAGGAAAAATAAGTTTCCGGAAATTTTTTAAATTTAAAGGAAAACAACCAGACAATCAGGCTATAAATGAAATATTAAAGGAATCTGACAATTGTGGACATAAAAGAAGGGCTCTTCTTAGAATTTTTATTGTACAAATATACGACAAATTAATTACCGCTAGGAGAACGAATTAAAAGACGAACACAACAATTTTGTTGTGAATTGTTGTTGTTGTTAAATGAGGAAGAAGAAGGCTCCAATGAAAAGTCTAATTCAACCTGAAAAACATTGTTTTAATTAAAGTTTAATTAAAACATGTTGGAATTGTAATTCAAGTTTATTTAATGTTTGTTTGAATGTTTTGTTAAAGGTTTGTTTGAGTGTTTGTTTAAATGTTTGTTTGAATGT